AAACAAGTAAAGACTATGGAAATGGCAGAACATTCAGATAATAATCTCGGGTACTCTGCGTACCCTATCTCAAAGTAACCATATCTCACACCTGCGAGTACAGCGTCTCGAAGAAAGGGTACTCAAAGGTTTTGGCATCACTCCACACCTTCTGGCTTACTACTTTGCAAGATGTACATGGGTTTTGCTCATAATATTTATTGAATAACTCAAGTTATCGCTCTGAATTTATTACAGTCGACTCCACATAATGGAATATCGCTTAATGGAATATAGTCGTAGTTAAAGCTTCACGTGAATACTGATTTTTTTTCAAACTGCCACCTTGGGAGGGGGGGGGGGATTTTCACGAAACGACATATTCCAGAGGGAGCAATGTGCGCTAGGCAAAGTCTAATCTGACAAATTATTATTTATGCCAGGGGGGGGGGGGGGGTACTATAAAAAAGGACCTATTCACATTCATCCACTGAATTTAACTAATTCCCATTTAAGCACTGTTTGAATCAGACAATTTTTCACTAGGCTCCAACTCAAGCATGGGACGTCCTTTAAGAATGGAGGGGGGCGGGGGGTTGGAGTCAAGTGAAGGAATACGGAGGGAACAAGCTTGGTTCATAAATTGGTAGTGGTTCCACGATCTCGGCTGAACAACGAATCGTGCTCCGATCGTATCTTTACCACGGTAAATCCTGACTTCACAGGATCACCTAATTTATTCTGTCTAGAAATACCGTCTCTCCTATTACCCAAGTGAGGCGGTCAATTGAATATTTTAACATAAAATGTACTCAGTAGCTATGGAACGGACTCTCATCGCGACGAAAACTTGAAAATTCCGCGCGTATGTAATTGTTACCGGAAGCAAAATTACTCAAGATAATGTTCATTAATTAAATTAGGGAAAATATCGGTGGACGAAACGATTTCCCAGTAGGAAACTTGGGGCTTAGGGTAGGGTACTTGGAACATCTTTGCCGCCTGATTTTCGGAAGTGTAGTCAATCCTTTCATACTGGACTCGATGGTGTAAATATTTTTTTTTTCGATTTCAATGAATATCCGTATAGTTTAAGAATGGGCACCCGATGGGTTGACTCTTAGAATCTCTCTGAAACTATAATAGTGGCTTTGCGATAGAGCGTGCTTTTCCGAGATTCTGACATCTAGTACCATATGATGTACTTGGTACAACACTCACTGGAAGGAGCTTCAAGAACGTAATTCATTATACCTGTATACTGCTTATGGGATTTAAACTTTTGCCAGAGACTTTAACCAGAGAGTACGTTCCAATTTCAAGCTAGAAATTCAGGATAGAGCTTTCCCTGAAGTGAATCCTGTTTTCATTACCACATTTATTTTCTCGGAAGTTTGAAAAAATTGTAATAGCGCCTCTATATACAACATTTACCTAGCTTTCCATCGATATCAAAAGATTTCAGATCCAATTCGTCATTCTGGTGCAGTTACGCACAGTGTGACAGAGATAGCGCTTGAAAAGTGCACCTACCAGTACCCTATAAGATGTGTTCCAGGTGACGTCCATTCCTTTGCTTTTGGCGAGTAGGCGACCTCTTGCTTGCACTGGCAGACGTTGCAGCATGACAGAATTACCAGCACCACATTTTATACTTTTATCTAATTGCATGAAAGTTATGTCATAAATCTTTATTCTGTCGACATAATTGGAAAGCTAGATGAATGTTCTACACGGAGGTGCTATTTTAAATTTAGCAAACTCTTGGGGACCAGTGCAGTGGAGTGATGAAGATAACCGCCTTTTTTTTTGGCCAACCCAGTGCCTTCAAAGTAGGAATTTTCCTGGAGTCAGCAATCAAACAGCTATTCGTGTACCAAGTTTCAGCCTCTCGTCATTTCTAGAACATGGTAAGAATTAGCGTCATTCACTCAGTCAGTCGCACGATCGTCTATATTGAATACTTATGAAGTCCTTGTTGCACTTTTAAAAAGTAATAACTTTATTTCTAGACTCGATAGAAGAAAACAGTTTTAAAATATTTAGATGCTAAGATCTTCAAGTTTCTTCCTGGTTTTGCTGCCACCGCTAGAGGCGCTGAAACGCAAAAATGGCATCAACAGAAGAAAAAGTCAACTGTGTGCTGTGGATGGCTGAATTGAAGATAGTAATTGTTATAAGAATAAAGTTTCAAAGTCATTACAAGAAGGATCCTCCTCATGCCAACTCAATAAGGAACAGGATGAAGAAATTTAATGAGACAGGATCTGTAAATGATTAACCTCGGTCAAGAAGGCCATATGTAATGTGAGGATACTATAGCGGTTGCGCAGGAGTCGTTTGAAATAAGTCCGAAAACATTTATTAAGTGTGCATTGGATGAATTGAACATTCCAAGAAGCACTGCCCATAAAATTGAAAAGTTCATTTGCATAAGGAAGCAAAAATCCAAAATCCAAATTCACCAGAACTTGGTGGAAAATGATTACCATCATAGATTATACTTTTGTCATCACTTCCTTTCCGACATCGACTATTCACAGACATTTTTAGAGGAATTGATGTTCGCAGATCATCAGGGGAAAGTTAACGGTCACATTTGCCGCATTTACGGCGATTAGAAACCTATTGAATTGTGGCAACATGAACGCGATTCATCCAATGTCACAGTATGGTCAACCCTAAAAAAATTATGAGTTATTGGTTCCTTCTTCTTCGATGATCACACATCCCCCATCCATAACTAGGGCTTTAAACCTTTCAAACACCATTTTTGAGTAATATGGTGCCCCATGTCACTATGGCTTGAATGTTAAAAAAGATTCTAACGAAAAGTTTCCTGTAAAATGGATCGGTAGAGGCGGACTTTTCCCTTGGCCATCCCGTCTACCAGATTTTTCTTTGCTTTTCTTATTCTTATTTGCTCATGGGGCCATGTCAAAAGTACTGCTTCTTCTAAGCCACAAAATTTGGAAGAACTCAAAGCCAGAATCACAAGGACAATTATTGGTATAACAAAAGAACATCTGGAAAATGTTTTTCATTCTTTGAGAAAACGGGTTGAACGCTGCATTGCTGCAGATGGTGGATTTGTTGACACCTGAAGTAATGTTGTTCAAGTTCAAAATAAACTCTAAAATCTTAACTTTCTTTTCTTACATCTAGTCCCATGCGAAGGACTCGCATGTGGCACGCGAATGCTAAATGTACTTTGCAGGGAAAAGAAACCCACTATGAGCACTATAACTCAGGCCTTTTCAAAACCTTTCCCATTTTCCTTCTGTTTATCTTTTCACCTATCAATCACAACCCTCTCCTACCGTCCCCTTTCCCTCCACCCATTTCGGCAGTCGTTTCCTCCGTCCCGATTCAAACGGGTAGTGAAATGTCTTTTTTTCCCTGTGACAAATGATCTTACTCTTAATTAACACCATATTTTTCTTTTTCCCCTATATACTCCCACCCCGCACGAACTTAGTCCCTAAGTTATTTTATTTATTTATTTTTTAAATCTCATCTATAGGGTTTCCCATAAGTATGGTACCATAGGGTTTACCCTATGGTTCCATACTTATGTGCATATCATGAATCACTTATATAAGTGATTCAAGATATGCACATATACGGGAGCGTATCATTGACGCATATAACACTATTACTCCTGACACTATTCGAAGTGAGATTGCCGACTGGATACCTTGTCTGCATTTGCGTATCAATCATAATGGTGGACACATTGAACACATTCTGTGAATACAAGTCGTTACCATCATTTTGCCCTATGGTTCCAGACTTATGGGATACCCTGTATAATTTCTCAGATTATTTTTATAATTCTATGAATTTGCGCCTAAGTCTCTGTTGCGCAAATAAATACCATTGCATGAGTGATTTTTAGCATGTCGGGATTTTTTATTTCGTACCAGTATACTTTTTTTTAAGTGCGACTCGCGCAAGTTTGGTCACGTCAGTATACGGTCACAGCGGCGAAATTTTGAGTACCGCTGTCTTTAACGATGGCAATGACGACAACGACATGTGAGATGACATCGACATGTGAGATGACATCGACACGAGTACTCAAGGAGCCCAACGGTATTAATCTTAATCGGACGGATTTAAATCTCCCGCGTAAGCGCTGGCAGTTAGATATTTTCTACTAAACTCGTGAACACTCGCTAGCTGAAGAGATATTCACTTAATATCTGAGCATTTTTTCAAAAAGTGGCGGTACAGCATTTGCACCTTTAGGGCATGGAAAAATGCATTCTGCGGCACAGCAGTTATGACCAATGTTGACCAATGACCAAAGTTATGTCAATGAAGCTTAATGTACAAATAAATGTATGCACTTACAATAAAGGTCAAAGTAAATATTCGCTGGGAGACTCCAAATCCCGGTCTAATTTTATTTCTTTAAAAGAACCGTTTAATCCTCACTTCATTCATTTGATTGCAATATTTATATTTACAGGGTGGGACAGAACCTTTTTCTCCTCACTGTACTGCAACATGAAAGAGACTTGGGAAAAACCAATTGTATTCCTGCATTAAAAGGAAACTCATATGACAAACTTAATAATCGATTTGACCACCATCTGCAAGACGAACAGCCTACAGGCGACGAAGGTAGGATTCAAGTAGTTCTTGAAACAAATCTGTTCGCTTCTTGGAGCACTTGGGTGAGGTTTCTTGGAGGAATTCAGGGGCAGCTCGAGACTCGCGAAATGCGATACATTTAATTATATCAATCACTCTCTGTTTTTCGCAGTTGTAAGTAACAGCCATTTTTATATATTTATCTGAAAATGATCAGAAGTAGTTCCAAATGAATCAGGCTTTCAGATCTTACCCAACATAAGTTAATAGCTAAAACGCTTTGGGTTGAAGGGGGAGGAGAGGGGAGGAGAAAAAGTTTCTGCCCCACCCTATACATCATTCATGTTGGTACTCTCCGAGTCACTCTGTATTTATTCTTTAAAAATTATGCTCTGGGTTGTCTGCTGCATTTCATTTGTCTCTTACATGATAGCGCTTGCCTTCTCATCCAGCTTCTCTTCCGATAGCATCCATTCCTCCTCCTGGAATAGAGGGAATTCTTGTTATCATCACCCTGCCGTACAATTACCTGAACCGTCAGATTTACATGAAAACATGTAAATCTGACGAAATATGATCGTGGACTTAGGAGTGTCTTACTTTAAACCCTTTTTTTTATTGACGTACGCCACAAGATTGATTCACGTTAATATGTAAGCTGAAGAGAGATCATAAGCACACACTTCTCCGTCAACAGGTTTGCAACATGTTGCGGAAATTGAAACCCCTTATAGGCGTATGTAACATATTTCTCGATAAACAAATATCTTTTCGTGATTCGTTACGTAATCCCAGTTCTTTTGAGTCTCTTCTCGTCGAAGACGAACTCTGAGCAATGGAAGGATCCTTCATATCCCATGTAACACACTGACGTTGTGACAATGTTGCATGAAAGTAATAACATCGTGTGGATGTAGTATGCTGTTACCCTGATGATTTGACAATGTTGTTATTAAATCTCCACCGCAACATTAGGCAAATAACTAAATGTCGCGGAGCAAAAAACATGCTAATAAATTCGCAATAAATAATTGTGAAGGAGCTGTAATATTGTAGTTGCCACTGAATACTGTTTAATTACCACAACATATGGAACGTTGTGGCTACATTGTAGAAAACATTGTTACAACATTTGAATGTCCTTTTATCTGATGCTGTCGCAGCATTTTACTATTACGTTGTGACAACAAATTCTTTCTGGCGTTAACAACGTTTAGACAATGTTAGCAAATTAATGCAGTCATCATTTAATAGGTTCATACAATCGACGGCAGATGGCATCTCAACGCCGCAACAGCAAATCTCCCTTTCATGTACCGGAAATGTGTTCCCTATATGTTTATTTCGGTACCTGGTCTTTTCCCGCGTAAAACTCAGGGGAAGATATTGGAATTCTTGAATAAACCTGTTTAAGTGAGTTACACGGCAGAAGGGGACCCCAGGTACTTTTTGCGTTCGGGTCGAAGGAAACATGGCGAAATTTTCTAATTCTCTCGAAACTATTCCGGCGGAAACTATTCTCAACCTCTGACTTAACTTTAGAAGGTAAAGGAGCATGAACCTTGTTTGAGAACCGCCTCTCGATATTCTTTCAAAAGAAGTGATTACATGATGAGGTGATTAACTCGTTCAGAGTTGTCTGGAGAATATACTCATCATGCGTCTGCCCACTTGCCAGCGTTATCATTACGGGCACACGCAGCAATACGTAGTCGGGATAACGTAGAAAGGTTTAAATTGGAAAATAGATCCCTACTTGCACAAGGGCAAAGAACACTCTCTTGGCTATAAATGTAGGGAATGGCTTTCTTGGTTTTTGGGGAAAATGCAGGGGGGTGTGAGCACTATTGTTTACAATCCATACTGCCATAATAATCAGTTCTCACGTAATGTCGTCACACGTTGTTATGTCAGAAAGGAAATGTTACGATGTTGCAGGATAATGTTCTAACAATATAAAATAAAAGGACGCTAAGATGTAACAACGATGTAACAGACTCCGACGATGAGATGAATCGGAATTTACTGAACGATGAGAAATGCCATGCCACTCTTTTTCTTGCGCAGACTCCTAGGTTTCCTCGTAGCAGCACGTTCACGTGAGAAAATAGAACTGAGTTTTCACCATAAAACTGGAATTCCCTTTTCTGCACATTAGACGAGAACTTTCTTGCTTATGCTTCACTCAAGACTTTTCGGAATATTTTTATGGAGTGAACTTCCAAAGTTATGAATTTGTTTGTGGTTTTTTAGGCGCCAGCTGAGGAATATGATCCACAGTTGGTTATACCTACGAAGAATTGTGATGGTACTGAAATTATAAGGAATCCTTTCCGTAGAGCAGATGCTGAAGGTGTTTGTGAGGTACCCATGCATTTCGATGGTAGTAAATGTCAAGATGGCTAAGCATGTTCCAGAGAGTAAGGCGGAGGTTTTCGGCAAGTGCCGTAATATTTAAATACAGAAAAACAACACTCCCAGCCATATTGCTCGCTGTACCAACAACTGATTTTGGCAATATACAGTAGTATCAACATATTGCTATGGCGTGCACAAATCCTTGAACTCAACCCGATTAAATTCACTCAGACAACCTAAAGCACCAAAACCGTCAGCATCTCCATATAATGTTGATGCAGACCTGAAGGCAATCAGGTCTACATCAACAATATGATCATGTGATGGCGGAATCGATGAGGATTCCATCAAAACACTGTCAGAAAGATTTCTCTTTTATAATGAACTTCTTCATGCGTTTGCCATACTGAATTTACATTTTGAAGCTATCGTGAGATCGGTTCACACCGTTCTCTGCGCTTAGTCCAATCCTGTTTTTAGCCTTGTTTGCCTTCAAGGAAATGGACTTACTTCTGAGTCCTTTCCATGGTGTCCTTGTCCTCGCAAGCAACTCTCAATGAAACCGTTGAGAATCAGAATGAGTAATGCATCGATGAATAAGTGGGCGACGAAGATCACAGTGGCGATGGTCATGTGATCGTGGCTTTCCTCGTTCCATGTTTTCTCCCAAGGAGGGTACAGGATGAATCCAACTTGCCAGAACCAAGTTCCTTGGACGAGCATTGTATACGTGAGGGCAAGGATCGGAAGTATCTGGGAGTTCTTCCAGGCGTTCAGGAAACCCAGCAGTATGCCGCTTGTCAACACGTTTCCAAGCAAAGTGTGAGTCTGTAAATATGACCTCAAATTGGTATCTTGAATGAATTCAAAAGCTTTCTTAAAACATTAGAAAGTGCATAAACAAACTCTTGCTCCATTCGAGCGGATATCCCTGTCTCCTTACCGCGCTTAATTGTTTGCCTGGCATATCCTATGAATCATTCTCATTGCTTGTAGATACACAGACATCGCTTAAAAAGCAGATACCCTTCATCGCAGAATCAAGCATTATTGTTTTTTTTTGTCTTTAGAACTCCTGAATAAAGATTTGTCTAACGCAACAGTTGATGCCAACTTACAAGGACGTCGAGAGGATATCGGCCATGGAGGTGGTTGGCGAATAGGAGCCACTCCACGATCAGGGCAAGTATTATGAAGGCATGATCAGCATACGGCGGAAAGGGATACCCCTTATCCATCAGCATCCCGATGACCCCCCAAAACAAGAAGCCAAAGAACATGCACACATGCTGAGCGTTTCCCAGATGCACCCAATTCCAATTCTCATCAAGTGCATTTATGGTTTCCCCTGTACCGAAAAACAAAGATGAGTTTCTTATTATGACTTAGGAAAGTACGAGTACGTTAAATGAGTCAGATAATTCTTTCCATGGGGAATATGAGCAAAAGTGGAAAAGAACCGAAGTACGAAGATATATCATACAGTGTTGACGAAGTTTCAGGCTTCACCTGCAGTCTACTACAACGTTCTATGGCAAATGAAACATTCCTTCAATTTCACCTCAGAATAGTATGATACTGTTGACCTCAGGAAATGCTTAGAATCCCAACGTCAATCAGCAATACTCATTTTAAAGAAAATATAACCAAAAAGCCTCAGTGTATACTGTATTTTGTTCTGTTATCATACATGGTAAAATGGAATTTATTTAAGTGGAATTTAAAAGAAGATCTAGGATGTCCGTCTTTTCGAACGGGAATTGCTCATGGAACGTTGTGGTTTCTTGCACTCCAATGAATTTAAGGAATCAAAGATGATGAATTCCCTTCTCCAGCTGCAAACAAATTCTGTTCCGTTCAATTATGACCGATATTTTAAAAGAGTTTTGCCCAGATGAGGCACCAAACTGTTTATCGAAAGCGGAGCAGTGTTTTGTCGAGGAGCGTTTGCTTCTAAGTACCTCCATGAATATTCAAAGGAATCATCGCTTCCTTGGTTTCTTATCTATTTTATGATGCAAGGGGTAAGATTTTTCTTTTGTAAAGGGAGAGGTATTTTTGCCTTTCCGTGAGACCAGGTCCATTTCATCGAGAGAGAATTATAGGAAACAAGATGAGCTTCATATGCTATTCCCTATTGTACAGTATGTAACAAATATCAGTAAATTAAAAAATAAAAGTTAGTTAGTATATTACTGAGAGCGCAATATCTTTACGGGTTGTCTTTCGTCCTTGTCGCTTGTGTCCCTTTGGTTCTGTCCTCATCGTTACGTCCGACGGTGACAATGTTTACAGGTTATCCGGTCCAACTGAGCTTCACTTTTAATTCTCAAAGGTGTCGCTAAATGTGATCTGTCTTCCTCTCCTCAGAGGGGAGAGGGTGATTTCCACTTTGACCCCTCCGTCAGGTATGTGGCGATCCCAGGGGGAGGGGGCGAGCAGCACGTATGAATGTTTTTAGAGATTTAAATAGATTGTCTGACGAGACCCAAGTCAGCCACTGATGGCCTTCAGGCTCCTTTCTAAAGATTTGAAAAGCTGAAGACAGCACCATATTAATGAGCTACCATAGAAGAAATCATGCCGGCGTAGCAAAGTTGGACAGGATAGATCGTGCTCTTCCCTATGCTATATACGAGGCCACTGTCCAGGCCCTGTACATAAGGTGGCAACCCTGTTTGACGTGGTTTTTGTGAAGGTGGCTACTCAGATATTATGTGTTTGCATTGTAATTGAAGTTTTTTCGGTATTCTTTGTGATCCCTGGGGCGTAATTACTATTAATTAATGGGACCATGAAAATGCAGGGACTCCACAGATTTGACTCCCGGAAAACTACGACGAAGCGCCTCTTCCACTGTGTTGTTTGTGGTGAAACTCTTAACAACGAAGCAATTCATTGCTTCGTTGTTAAGAGTTTCGGTCGAATACTTCGAACGTAGACGAAGTGAAATGAAGACGCAACAGAGGCATACGAGGGCAAATAAAAAATTCGTTCGTTTTTATAGAAGGAAGTGTACTACATTTTTTTCCTATTTTTTCCCTGAAAAGGGGTTTATTCAAGTCCTCTCAACGTAATTTCCGGGGAAAACATTAATGCATTTTCGAAGGCGCCGCAGCCAATCTTGAAAACACTGCTTGAAATCGTACTTTGTCAGCAAGTCGAGTTGACTGTTGACTGCTTCAATCAATTCCTCGCGGGTCCGAAACAGCTTTCCACGCAACGGTTCCTTGGCTTTTGAGAACAACCAAAAGTCACACGGCGCCAAATCCGGGAATAAGACGGTGGCTCGGTCAGGTTGATGCCAGAGGCGCCGATGAAGAGAGTCGTTTTGCTGGCCGTGTGGGCTGGGGCGTTGTCGTGGTGCAAGAAGTGGCGCCTGAGTTCCGACTTGGGGCGACCTCTGAGCAAATTTTCGAAAACTACCGGCAGGCAGTTTTCTGTGTACCATTGAGTGGTCACAGTCTTGCGTTCCTCAAGTGGGACAGATGCGACGATGCCTTGCTGGGAGAAGAAAATCGCGAACATGGTTTTTCCAGACGATTTCACTCGTTTGGCCTTGAGCCTTTCCTTTTTTCGACCAAACTTTGGATTGCTCCTTTATTTCCGGATCCGAGAAGCGGAACCATGCTTCGTCGCCAGTTACAATGTTCCGGAAGTTGGCAGAAGTCCCATCCTTGAAGTCTGCTAGGAACTGGCGGCTGAAATTGACGCGGACGTCCTTTTCCTCTTGTTTTAGCGGTCGGGGCACCCATCTGGCGGATTTCTTGCTGCACCCAAGGTGGTCGCGCAAAATTCTTCCGACCAACATGGCATCAATTTCTAGAAGTTCTTCAAGCTTTTCCAGGGTCGTTCGAGGGTCTTCGTCGATTGCCTCCTTCACACGCGCCACATTTTGATCGTCCGTTGATGTTCTGGGGCGCCCCTCACGACGGTCGTCCTCCAGGCCGAAATGTCCCGTTTTAAATCGGGCAAACGACTTCTGCACCCAGCGCAGAGTCGGGGTTTCGTCAGCAAGTACCGTTTGTAGCTCTTCCGCGCAATTTTTTGCAGTCAAACCGCGCCGGAAACTGAAGGAAATGATAGCGCGCGGGTGCTCTTTACTGTAAGCCGGAAATTGACTTGGACCAGCCTCACTTGTTTTTCGTTTCCTCGTCTCCATCGCTTCTTGGGCTGAAAATTTTTGTGTAAGTTAATCGATACCATAGGAAACACATTTTAAAAAATTCATCCTTCCCCAACAACGGCAAGCATCGAAATGAGCGAATTTCTGAACTGCCCCTCGTATGTTTGCTGCAGCTAACATCAGTGCTGCTGCTTTATGTGTCTCTTTCTTGATCTCTCACAGATTTGCAAAATGCAAGAAACCAATCACGATCGGTGAAGAACTCGTAAAACCCGCCATCATTGACGCGTGCAGAGAAATTCTCGGCGAGGAAGCGTCCGAGAAAGTATGCAACATCCCCTTGTCTAATGATACTGTACACTGAAAAAAAAGGTGCGAGAAGGGTGCGTGGAGGGTGTGCCTGCAGAGGGTCGAGATGTACACCCTCATGGTACACATGTTGCTCACGGTACCGATTCGCACCCTTAGGTTCCCTATGCTCCCTGCCGTCATCACAAACAGCATATGCACCCGTGGGGTTGACATGACAAGCTCACAACCGTCCTGAGAATTTCAATTGTTTCAAGTGCTTTAATTAAAGCGATTCACATTGTTGTGTGCATTAACCTCCCATGGCTCCAACTATGAACTTCACAATTATTACTATCAAAACCCCAATTTTTCAGCTATGAGGTCTAGGTTTGTCTCGATGCCCCATTTCCACTAATAAAATACATTGCATAGGACGATTTCATGCCAAATCGATAAAGTTATGCACGACGAAGGTTTCTCCCCGGAAACGTCATTCGAGGCCTTTTCTGAAAGGCAATGCAATTCCTTGCCCTACCAGGTCACGGAATATATGTTCTGTGCTTTGAAGAATGGTGATAATCAAACTCAGTTGCACAATCAATGGAAGATGCGGAAATCGTGTCGTAAGACTGGGAAATTTTAACAATTGTCGAGAATATTTTCCGGAAACGTACGTTTATCTGATTAAGAATATCACCCTATCACTGCTTTCAAAGCGTCCATACACCATTCAGTAAGAAATGCGAATTGCGCGGAGACCATTAAACCCTCCTAAGACAAAAGAAGTTGACGGACTAATCCTTTCTCAGAAATCCTGCCATTTTTACTATGGCCACTCAAAGGCCGCAGTCCCGACCCTGTCTTCGTTTTGGATATAGAAAATCCTAGAGCGGACAGACTTCCCAAAATTTGGTGTGTCGTGTATTAAGAGCGTTGTGGAATGCGTCTCCTGCCCCCATATCTTCCTGGCATCTGAATTTGGTGAGATACTGTTAGACTCGTGGCCTCATATACTAGTAGACTACTATATACCCTAGGTCTAAGTCCTTGTGAAAATGCCATATGTACTGTATGACTTTTTATTTTATTTTTTATTAAAATAATTACATTACGTTACGCAGGTTATGCAGGTATTCATATCACAGATTTACTGCAATCTCATACAGCTAAGTAAGAGACCGATGATCGTTCACGAATAGAAATAGGTAGGAAGCAGGGACTGGAATATATTTCAAATGGTGCATTTCAGAGTCTCCTTGATACAGTTATGGGTAGAACTTAAACTAGGCGTATTTTTTCTTGAAAGTAGGTATCACTGGCTCGGAACTTTATTTAATGTGTGGGTACTCTTAATCAACACCATAAAAAAAAATAGCGAATAAACAAAGGGTGGTTGATGTGGAGTCTATGACTGTATTAATTCCTTTCTTCTTTCTCAATTGCCAAGTCCTTATTTTGATACCTTAGTGAGGTTCATCAGCTTATGTCTTGTGGTTTTAGTTTTATCCCAGCAGGATCCCGGTTGTCCCATTTCTCCATTTTAAGTCTGCGTTACGGGGAAGTATCTCAATACAGGTGAGTAAAATCCCGATGTTATGTTCTATCACCTTGAATTTTAAAGCTTAGAACGTGAAGCTGCATCGTTCTGTCATTTTTCTTAAACCTTAACAGCTTATGGGAAGGACAGTGCCGTGACAAGCCAAACAGGATTTGGGATTCTCATCAGCTCATCTTGCTGTTTGCATTCTTCCATGAACCCGTCTCTGGGATTATCTGCGTAGAGAAGGTACGCATTCTTCTCTTCGAAAATCCTGACTCTGTGACCTTCTTTAAGGCACTGGGCAGAAATACTATTGATCTATTAACCTCACATCGTTTTTACCAAAGGACATGAAGAAATGAGAAAGTTTCCCATTTTTAAGTACGTGATATTTTTTCTTTTCTGCAGGAACCGGTGTGTGGAAGCCCAGTCCTCTGGATGCCAAGACTTGCACCAAAGGAGAAAATCTCAATCAAGATTGATGGGACCGAAGTACTCTCCACACCGAACGTCATTGCGGCTATCAGTTGTTTCTGGGCCTCACAACTTAAAATATTCCAACAAAAAAATGTTTGAATTTATTGAAGTGCAAACTGGACTTACGAGACCCATCCTTAAGTGCGTGAAAACTGCTCTCACTTCCCTTGCCAGCAGCTGAACTACCTCCATTCCAATTTCAATATGTGATGCACAGATGTCAAAAATGTTTTTCTTTGATGTATTGATATAATACATATATTATGCTTTTAATATTGCGCTTTATTCCCTGTGAAATAAAATTGGTGTGAAGGGTTTTCAATGCATAATGTCGGACTAGGTACATGGCAACATCCCAGTCTGCACAGGAACGTTGAGTAAACGTCGATACTTGGTGGATATGTGATGGGCTTGAAATATGCCTGAGGGCATGGACCAACTTCAAAAGGGGTCGGAAGCCGCACTGAAAGGGGGATTCCACACCAGGCAGCCACAAGGACCAGTTGTGTGGGGATTCGACGCCAGACAGCGACAAGGACAGTTGTGTCGGAGGATCCCAGACAGGGCGTACCTCCAGAAGCCTAGCGATACGCGCCTTCAAAGACAAGCCTTCCCTTCGTGAGGAGCATATTCGGCTCCTGACTNACAAGACACTGGAATTCACCAATGGACCTAATGGCAAGACTACAGGAAGACCGTATAGGATGCAGAACAAGGTTGCCAAGTCAACCAAGCAGATCAACAGTTACACCCACTGGGGTGTCGGAGTAATGCCTCGGGGAGTATTTAAAGGTTAAAATGTCCGGAGTTAGGGTGCAAGCCACAACCCAGCAGGGTGTGCCTGTAATGCCTTAGGATACAAAACAAGGTTGCCATGTCAACCAAACAGACTAACATGTGTACCCACTAGGGTGCGGGAGCAATGCCTCCGGCAAAATTAGGGGGTGAGAATGGTTGCGATTCGGATTCACATGGGAGCCAAATGCTGTTGCATGTGAACCCATGAGTAGGGGTGCCCATGCTCACCCTTCGTGAAGGGTTCCCATGTGAACCCGAGAGGCTTCTGTCCTGGGACAACACAGGCACACCTTTGAAGGTGTACATACGCACCTTTAAGCACCGTTTTTTTTAACAGTGTAGCTCGCCGCATTGAAAGAATCTCGGAAGACATTGAAGATCAATTGTTGGAAAGACCCAAGCAGTCAAAGTGGTTTTCAATGCAGTTGGACGAATCCACAGACATTTCCAACGTTGCAGTTTGTATTATCTTCGTGGGCTATGTGCACGGGACTGAAATGCATGAAGATGTATTGATGGTTTCAAACATACCGACTCGAACGGAAGGCGCAGAGATCTCTCAACAACTATGTAGTGGAAAACGATTTCTCTGTAAATGTGTTGTCGCCGTCTGCACCGATGGAACTGCTGCCATGACAGACGCAGTCTGGTGTGACAGCGAGTATCCGAGAAGTTGCTGCTGGTGATGTGCAAGTGAAACATTGTGTGCTCATGGGATGCTAGCCAGTAAAGAAATGTCTTCACAACTCAACATAGTGGGCGCATTCAGTTGCGACCCGAGCTATAACGCGAGTCACGACACGAAACACTTGAATGCCTCGGGTGATGACGCAGGAACCTGACTCGAGTTACGTGCTATGACCCGATCTCTGAGATCGAGGCATTATCGTCGGGTCATCACTCCAAACATGGCGTGTAGGTACCTTTTGAAGGTCGCCGCTCTCATGCATGTGTCTAAGCCCCTTTGCACGTTTACTTCAACACTTACTACGTTTTCCTACGCACGACGGCTGTTCCTTTCTTTCACCTAGCTAATATGAATTGTAATATCCCGAAATCGCTTTTGAGAAGTGGATAACCCTCCTCAAATTTGCTTCGAGAAGATTCCAATTTGGTATGGAACATTTTTTATTGCTGGCTGAGGTGACGACTACCTTGAGTCGTCAGACTACCTTGACGACTACCTTGACGAAGACTACCTTGACGACTACCACGATGCAATAAACAAGAGGGTGAGGTCGAACTCGGACATTGTTGAATATCCCGGAGAGGTAACTTGATCTTGAAGAGCATTCTGTACCTCTTCACAAATTTCTCAACTCCCTCTATTCTTGCTACTACACAGAAAAGCAGCTAAAATTCGCTGATTAAATGACCCAATGCATTCAGAAGGTTGCGTCAGATATCAAAGTGGGCTTTGCCCCGAATCATGACTCGCCCAGTTAGATCGAGTCACAACTGAATGCGCCCAGTATAAGCAGCTAAAATTCGCTGATTAAATGACCCAATGCATTCAGAAGGTTGCGTCAGATATCAAAGTGGGCTATGCCCCGAATCATGACTCGCCCAGTTAGATCGAGTCACAACTGAATGCGCCCAGTATTAACTGACTGAAGATTGTGAACCTTATTAAGGCTCATCCACTGAACTCGCGCCTGTTTCGAACACTTTATGATGAGCTTGGCGCTGAACATTCATATCTCCTGCTGCATTCGGAAGTCGATGGTTGTCACGCGGGAAAGTACTGGCTTGTGTTTACGAACTCCACGACGAAATGAAGGTTTTCCTGCGACAGGAAGCATCTTCGTATTCGGACCTACTTGACGATTACGAGTGGCTAGCCAAGCTGGCATACTTGGCAGACATATTTGGATTATTAAATGAGGTGAACTTGCAGCTGCAGGGCCCTATGGCTTCCTTCATCAGGATGGCAACAAAAATTGAGGCCTTAAAAAATAAACATTAAGTATGGCCGCAAAGAGTCAACGCGAAGACTTCTATATGTTCGCATGTCTCCGTGACCTTTCAAGTAGCTCAAAAATCAAGAAGCGTGTCGTGAAACTCATTTCAGAACACTCAAAAAAACTTCTTCCGAAATTCGAAGATTACTTTCCATCTGAAGACGAGCCACGAACGGGCTACATGTGGGTGGTCGACGCTGTTACCTACTGTGGGAATACAGAGAACAAACTGTTTGCACTTGAGGAGGACAATCTCATTGAACTCACCAGCGATCGAGCCCTGATAGAAGAAATTTCTAATTTTACACTAGCAACATTTTGACTGAAGATGAGCAAAGAATATCCAAATTTGAGTGAGAAAGTTTTCAAGCGACCTTCCCGTCAACGCATCTCTGAGTGAGTCTTTCCGTCATGGCGAGTACGAAGACAAAGGCTAG